GAAGGAATCTGGCATATTAACTTACTGTAAAAAACATGCATTGCAGTTCGTGTTTAAAAAGAGACAAAAGCAGTGGAGTAGACCATAAGGAACCAGGCTGCAGCTGATAATCGACAGGAAAAAGGGGTCCAGTGTATCCAACATAAGTGCTTTTTTGAGTGTACATACCTCCAAAGAACAGTAGATTACTGAGGTTAATCCATTCTCTGTATTTTTACAAGATGCCTGCTCAAGGAAACAATCTCAGGGGATTGAGTACAAATGAACTATGAACCAAGATTGAAACTAGAAATTGCCAAATGGAAAATAAAATGGATGGGAACAGATAAAATATACAGAATCAGCTTGCAGCAATATTCCTCCAACCAGGCAAGTCAGCCACCATATCATTTTTTCCAAGAGAGAAGAAAGGGCTTTAACCAGTAACCAAACTAAATTAAGAACTACCATTGGAGCAAGGACATCCATTTGATTAAGGGAATGGAATTAATGCCATACAATGAAATAACAAACATAGTTATTGGGTCGTAACTTTATTCTGCTTCAACAGCTGTAATGGGGTATTTCTGCAATTTTTGGAAAAAATGTGAAAGATTTATTGCAGCAAACTATATAACGAAAAATGAAAAGATAAAGCCAACCCCCCCCCTTTAAATTTATAACACTATTACATATTCTGAGTCACTACCAAATGCTAATAAATAATGATGAAGGAAAACAGCAAGTGGCCTCACTGAAGGCAATCCACTGCACAAAGAAGGATGTTTTCCCTCTAATAATTCCTATGGTGATGAATCACCCTCTGATATTACAGTACTTGGAGCTATTTCCCATTTGGGTTTTATCTGGCAGAGGGGAAAAAAACAGCCTGAGCAGTATTCAGGCAGAGGTTGCTACTGCCATTTGCTCTCTATGGCAGAACAGACCAATAGTGAAAGGGGGGAGGCATCCTCCTTATGTTATCATCCACTTTTTGTCATAGCATAGGCACACCAGTTTTATCGAACTGTCTTTAAAGCTTTCTCCATGAGAGCCACATCAAACAGTCTGTGCATGCAGCTGGACTGGCTGGCTGTTCCATCACAGGGGCCTGTTGCAATAACTGCTCAGATGCTGTCAGAGCTCTTTGCTAAAATGCCGATGAGATGACCTTTGGAGCATTTCTGTGCTACAAAACAGATGTTCTGGTGAGTCTTAAATTAGCTGCGCTCTCTTGGTCATTTTACGTGGCTTTTCCTAGTGCTTAAATGCATCATGGAGAAAGCTCTGAAGTGGACCCGAGGAGATTAGTGTTCTAGGCCCAGCTTTGCTACTGGATCACTAAGTGACCTTAGAGACAAATCATTTCACCTCCCTGTGCTTCATCTATAATGGGAATAATGCTGCTGTCTTCTATTCTCAAATTCTTTGAGATGGGTGACTAAAAATTGCCACACAAGAAGTGGGCATGATCCTTTTATCTAAAACTCTTCCTACTCCCAATCCCTTCCCGGTCCCCCATGAGGGATAGGGTTGCCAGGTGTCTGGTATTGATCCAGACTGTCTGCTATTTTTGCCTCCTGTTCAGCCCCCCTCTTCCAGCCCCCCACCCCTCTCCTCCTCTTACCTGGTTCCGCAGGGAAGCTGCCTTCTGGCTCCAATCAAGAAAACAAGAGCCTAAAGACTTTTTTTAAAGGGGCCATGATGTTTTAATGCTGTTTTATTTTTTTAATTTTTTTTGCTTAACACTCAGGGTATTTTTTTCTCAACAATTTTGGTCTCCCCCCCCTTTTTTTTTCTCAACAGAATTTTTTCCTCAGTGGTTGTTTTTTTTTGGGGGGGGGGGGGGGAGGGGGGGTTCAGTATTTTTGGTTAAACCATCTAGCAACCCTAATGAGGGATAATCCAGAAGTTCCAACAATTGAGCAGCGATTCCTGGCAATCTTGCTATTGAATGGCTTCTGTGACAGTGGAGGGATCTCTCTGCAGCCCCACTGTCATGGGAGTGAGTCAGCGGAATCCAGACAATGGAGCCAGACAGGCTTCCTGCATTGCTGCTCCTGCTCTCTCAGTTATCCAAACTTCCAATTATATGAATCAAATCTGAGTCACCCAGGGTATTTGGATAATCGGGAGTATATTGTGTTTCCAGGTATAATGTATTTCTATTGCATCTGCCTCAAAGGCCTCAGTACGAACTGGAGTTCTGTTTTGTGTGGCTCTATACAACAACTACAGAGGCATGCTCTCTGCCTCAAAGAGGTCACAGGCTAAGACAAGTTATTTTCCAAAGGTGGGTGAATGAGCTAAAAAGAAAATCTGTGCAGCCTGTGCACTCAGGACTGGGTAGTTGATGAGAACTAGTTATCACTGGAGTGTGTGGATTTTTAATATAGATATTATCTGTTGAAAATTATACAAAACTGAATATTGAATTCTGCCAAGTCTACTTCAAGGAACCAAGGCCAATTTATTAGAGAAGTGATACAGTCCAAATAATGACATACAGACACAGTTTCTGTTTTGTTTTGTTTTTTCCTCCCCATTTTGGTACATATCATCTCTGAGAAAAAATTTACTCTCTCTCACACACTAGATAGTTCAGAGCTCACTGATTTATATGAGGATTATTATTTCCAATACCTTGCTAGAGGTACATTTTCTCCTGCAATATGGTACTGTGGTCAGCTCTATATTTCTGCATATTACATTGGGCCTTGATGTGATATCTCATCTGGCATTACATCACCACTACTCAGATGGAAGTACCATCTCTGAAAAAGGGTTAGTTTCCTGCATACATAGCCAGTAGGTTTTTATAGAAGTCAGGTAGGCTAGTTTCTGCTGGGTATTTTGAGATCTCCCTGCTTAACATCTTGCTTGCCTATGCTACCCCTTCTCGGTTGGTATTTTGAGGGGAAAAAAGGTATTACAGCACTGGCACTTAGGTGAGTGACCTCAGGTTATCTTTAATAAGAACAGAAGAATGGCCATACTGAGTCAGACCAAAGGTCCATCCAGCCCAGCACCCTGTCTGCTGACAGTGGCCAATGCCAGGTGTCCCAGAGGGAGTGAATTCCATCTCCACCCTCTGACAAACAGAAGTTAGGGACACCATTCCTTACCCATATTGGCTAATAGCCATTTATGGACTTAAACTCCATCAATTTATCTAGTTCTCTTTTAAATCTTGCTGTAGTCCTAACCTTCACAACCTCCTCAGGCAGAGTTCCACAGATTGACTGTGCTCTGTGTGAAGAACTTCCTTTTATTTGTTTTAAACCTGCTGCCCATTAGTTCCATTTGGTTGCCCCTAATTCTTATATTATGGGAAAAAATAAATAGCTTTTCCTTATTCACTTTCTCCACACCACTCATGATTGTATATACCTCTATCATATCCCCCCTTAGTCTCCTCTTTTCCAAGCTGAAAAGTACCAGTCGCTTTAATCTCTCTTCATATGGGACCCATTCCAAACCCCTAATCATTTTAGTTGCCCTTCTCTGAACCTTTTCTAATGCCAGTATATCTTTTTTGAGATGAGGAGACCACATCTGTACACAGTATTCCAGGTGTGGTCATACCACGGATTTATATAAGGGCAATAAGATATTCTCCATCTTATCCTCTATCCCTTTTTTAATGATTCCTAACATCCTGCTTGCTTTTTTGACTGCCACTGCACACTGAGTGGACGTCTTCAGAGAACTATTCACCATGACTCCAAGATCTCTTTCCTGATTAGTTGTAGCTAAATTAGCCCCCATCATATTATATTTATAGTTGGGGTTATTTTTTTAATTGTGCATTACTTTACATTTATCCACATTCAAATTCATTTGCCATTTTGTTGCCCAGTCACTTAATTTGGTGAGATCTTTTTGAAATTCTTCACAGTCTGGTGTGGTCTTAACTACTTTGAGCAGTTTAATATCATCTGCAAACTTTGCCACCTCACTGTTTACCCCTTCTTCCACATAATTTATGAATATGTAGAATAGGATTGGTCCTAGGACTGACTCTTGGGGAACACCACTAGTTACCCCTCTCCATTCTGAAAATTTAGCATTTATTCCTACCCTTTGTTTCCTGTCTTTTAACCAGTTCTCGATCCATGAAAGGATCTTCCCTCTTATCCCATGACAACTTAATTTACATAAGAGCCTTTGGTGAGGGACCTTATCAAAGTCTTTCTGGAAATCTAAGTACACTATATCTACTGGATCCCTCTTGTCCACGTTTGCTGACCCCTTCAAAGAATTCTAAGAGTATGTCTACACTTGTACCTTAGTTCGAACTAGGGATGCAAATGTAGGTATTTGAAATAGTCAATGAAGTGGGGATTTAAATATCCCGCGCTTCATTAGCATGATCTCGCCGGCGTCTTACTCCTATCAACAGCTGTTTCGAAAGTGAAAGTGCGTGCCTGGACCTGTTAGTTCATACCAAACCCATTGGTTCGAACTAATGTTACTCCCCATTTGTAGTGAGCACTAAGGGAAATTGTGACTCTCATGATTCCAAGCACCCCCTGATGCTCCACCCAGGACATGAGACTTTGCACCATCGCCACAAAAGATTCACTGTAAAGATCAAAGATAGAAAAGGAATTTGATATAATAGTTTGTCTGTGTGTAATAACATATAACTTGGGATTGAAGAAGAACTAATTAGGTTTGTTTGAAGGAAATAAAAACATCTTTGCTGAATTAGTTTTCAGCGTATTTCAGCATATAATTCAGCATATTTCATCCTACTATGCCCTGTTCCATTTAGTTTAAAATCAGTTATAAGAGGGAGTTTGGGTATAACAGTTTGGTGCAGTAATTTCCCATCAGTAGTCCTTGGTGCCATTTAACATTGAAACTAGACAAGTTCAGACTGGAAGTAAAGCAAATGTTTTTATTTTTATTTTTCACCAACAAGAGTAATTAACAATTTTACCAATGAGAGTAATTAACAATGTACTGAAAGAGTGGTAGTGGATACTTCATCACTGTCCATTTTTAAATCAAAATTGGCTTTCTTTTTTAAAAGTTTATGCTCTAGGAATCATTTTGGGGATGTTTTATGGCCTTTGTTATACAAGAGGTCAGACTAGGTGGTCACAGTCATTTCTTCTAGCCTTGGATTTATGAATCTGCAAGAGAAAGGAGAACATGTCTATGGTAAAAAATGAACTCTCTAATAAATGCTAATAATTAATAAATAAAATGTAAAGCTTCCACTAGTTGGAGGCAACAGTGACATATGCTGTGTTCCATATCTACGGGAGTTCCTTTTAACAATACAAAATGGAACTGCATCCAGCCCACAGCCTGTGAAAATTAACCTGTGAAAATTTACATACCACCACTGGGTACGTCTACACAGCAGTGTTATTTTGGAATAACGGCCATTTTTCTGAAATAAAAATGCCAGCATCTACATAGCAATTCTGTTATTTCCACCTCTTCCAAAATTGCTATTTTGAAATAGCAGTAGTGTGGATGCTCCACTGCTGCTATTTAGAAATAGCTCTTCCTCAGGGCTATTCAAAGTAATGACACCTTAGTGCTTCCTGAGGCTCTAAATTGAGGTAGTGTGTCTGCATTAGGGGAGCCTTCATTAGACTAATTTTGAGGCTTCCCTGTAGTGTAGCAGCACTATTCTGAAATAAGCTATTTCAGAGTATTTCTTCTGGAATAATTTATTCTGAAATAAGTGTGCAGTGTAGATGTACCCTAAGAGGTACTTCCTTGTCAAGCACTGAATCTGTATGTAGAAAAGATTTTTTTAATAAAAAGGGGCAAGTAACCAGGCATTAATTAGGGAAAATACTGCAAGCATAATTCAAAAGCAAAGGACAATAAACAGAATATCTATTTCAGGTTGTGTTGGGAAGTGTCCTTTGCCTCAAGTTCTCATCTTGTGGTGAGAAATTTCAATAAGCAAAAATTTCTTCAATGTGCCACTCCCCACTTCCGCCAGCACACTCCACTGATAGTTGCAGTCCTTGATCAACAAAGATCCAGAGTTCAAAGTTTCATTCACATGGGGAGGTGGGGAATAGGGCACAGAAAGCAGTGATAGAATATGTGAGGATAAATTCCTCATTCCTACTAGTGTACATGGTGAAACTCCACTATAGTTAGAAGAGCGTTTCCACCAGCTGAGAATCTGACTTACTGACTCTCCATTTTCATTAGTTGAAGAGGGTCACATCTCCAGACATTTATGTCAAGTTTTCAGAAGTATTCTAGACCCTTTTTTTTCCTGGTTGTCCTACTTAAGACACTGAAAATCAGGTTCCAAAGTTGTCTCAGAAGAACACACACAAATTGAGGCAGCAGTGTCCATTTAAAAAATGTAAGCCTTAGTACTTTTTTTGTAGAGCAAAAAAGCTTGGTAGGTAGATTAATTGAATATGAAGTAGTGTAGGTGAACCTCAAAAGTGTAAAAGATTTGATTCAGTTTATAGGGGCTCTCACATGTAGAGATATTTCTATCTGAACCTCTTGGATCTATCAGACTGAGTTGGAAGACCCTTGAGTGTGGTTTCTGGTACATTGTAGTTTAGCCAGAAGTTTTGTAGGAACTATCTAGAACTGTTGAACATTTCCACTTGCTTAAATTAAAAAAAAAATTAAAGAAAAACTTAGGAGGACATGTGAAAGGGATTTTGCTTCCTATTTTGTGTTCATCTGGGAGCTTGTGCAAAGTAGGGATGTTAAATATTGGCTAATTGAATAGTTGATTAACCTCATGAATTCTTATCGGTTACTTGACTATTTTATAGTTCCCGGGACAGAGCCGGCAGCTTGTGTGCTCCAGCCCCACTCCCAAGGAGACCCCTGCCACTCCATGCTCCTGCCTCTGTTTAAAAACCAAGTCCCCTCATGGACCAGCTGCCTGTCGTCCTGCAGCGTGGGGTGGCAGCAGCCCCTGTCCAAGATGTGGGGATGAAATCCTGAACCTAGCATGAGACAGAACTGAGCGGGGCTGCCTGCCCACCTGTCTCCTAAAGCACTTTCAATGCAGAGCTACAGTAGGTCCCGGACCTGGTTAATCAACTATACTATTACATCCCTAGGGCAAAGAGCTGGATCTGTTTCTATCTTATTCAGGTAAATTCCTCCACTTCTCCTTGCTTGTCTACAGCTCTATTACATAATATAATTTTACATTCTGTTCTCACTGTCAGACTTAAGCTTTCTGCTTTTCTTTCTTTTCCATGTTAATAAAATTCAGTTTTGTGAATTTCAGAATGCTTACTGTCATGCATAAAATATTGTGGTTGAAAACCAGGTGCAAGGGCCACTGAAATCAGGATCTGTCTGTTTCCGAGTTGTCTATATATCCATGAAAAATGTGTTATTCAAAGTGTCTGCAGACACAATGTACCTGATCTGATCTTTACCAGCTGTAACCTTGTTAATTTCATGCCATTATACATTCATTTTTAGAAATAAAAAAGCATTTTTCTTTTTAATAATAATAGCTTTTGTGAAACTGAAATGCAGAAATACTCCAATAAGGTTCTTTTGTTTAGTTATTTTCCACTCAAACACCTGAACTAATTATTTCCTTACCTCTCATGATGTAATTCTCTGGTCTGTAGGCTTTCTTACATTGTTAAATATATTGGTGGCAGGAAAGAAAATTGGAATTTTATACAAAAGAGGAGCTCTGTAGTAAACATGATTCAATTCATTATTTAATAAAGTAGGATTGTTACTTAATATAATGACTAACAAATTTATTTGGGCATAAGCTTTTGTGGGTAAAAACCACTTCATTAGATGCATCTGATAAAGTGCTTTTTACACACGAAAGCTTATGCCCAAATAAATATGTTAGTCTATAAAGGTATGTCTAGATTACATCCCTCTGTCACCAGAGGGATATAAATTAGACATACCTCAATTGATAATGAAGCAGGGATTTAAATATCCCGTGCTTCATTAGAATAAAAATGGCCACCACTTTTTGCTGCCATGGCAATTTGCTGGCAAAAAGTGGCAGTCTGGACGGGGATTAGTCTACAAGGAAAGCCTTTTCCGGCTGATCCCTTATGCCTTGTGCAATGTGGTTTACAGGATCGGTCAGAAAAGGCTTTCTTTGTTGACCGATCACCATCCAGACTGCCGCTTTTTGCCGGCAAATTGCCATGTCGGCAAAAAGCGGCAGCCATTTTACTCTAATGAATGATGGGATATTTAAATCCCTGCTTCATTAGCAATTTTGGTATGTCTAATTTACATTCCTCTGGCGACAGAGGGATATAGTCTAGACATACCCTAAGATGACACAGGACTTCTTGTTGTTTTTGCAGATATAGACTAACATGGTTACCTCTCAGAAATTAATCATAGTTAACTCATACAATTAACTAGAAAAATTAATTGTGATTAATGGCAGTTTTAATTAAACTGTTAAAGAATAGAATACGAATTGAAATTCATTAAATATTCTTGGATGGTTTTTTTCTATATTTTCAAATATATTGATTTCAATTACAAGACAGATTACAAAATGTATAGAGCTCACTTTATATTATTATTTTTAATACAAATATTTGCACTGTAGAAATGATGAAAGAAATAGTATTTTTCAATTCACCTCATACAAGTACTGTAATGAAATCTCTTTACTATGAAAGTACAACTTACAAATATATATTTATTTTATATAACTGCATTCAAAAACAAAATAGTGTAAAGCTTTCAAGCCTACAAGTCCACCTAAGTCTACCTTTTGTTCAGCTTACTACTAAGAGAAACAAGTTTGTTTACATTTATGGGAGGTAATCTGCCTTCTTATGTACCATGATACCTGAAAGTGAAAACAGGTATTCACATGGCATATTTGTAGTTGGCATTGCTTCGTGCTTCAGCCTCCATTCCAGAGAACATTCATCCATTCGGACAATCCCCATTAAAAAATAATGCAATTAAATGTGTTACAGAACTCTTTGGGGGAGAATTGTATTACCCACATTCTCCCATATGTTTCATGTTATAGCAGCATGAAATTCATGGTAAGCACACTTCCTCTACAGATTTGACACATTGCAAAGAAGATTTCTAAAGAAGGATAGTGCAATTGATACAAGGTTTAAAAGTCTGAGATGACTTCAAAAATCTGAGAGGGTCAAAATGTGCAACATGCTTCTAGAAGTCTTAAAAGTACAATACTCTGATGCAAAAATTACAGAACCCAAACCACCAAAAAGGAAAACCAACCTGCCAGTGACATCTGACTCAGATGAGGAAAATGAACATGCATCAGTCCATAGTGCTTTAGATCATTATCTATCAGAATCTGTCATCATCAGGGACACATGTCTCCTAAAAAAGAGATTGAAGCATGAAGGGATATATGAATCTTTAGCATATCTAGCATGTAAATATAATGCAAAACCAGCTATAACAGTGCAGTGCAAATGCCCGTTCTCACTTTCAGATGGCATTATAAACAAAAAATGGGCAGCATTATCTCTTGCAAATATAAACAAGCTTGTTTATTTGAGTAATTGGCTGTACAAGAAATAGATCTGAGTAGACTTTCTGTCTCTAAAGTTTTGCATTATTTTATTTTTGCATGTAGCTATTTTTTACATATTTCTATATTTCAACTTTCATAACAAAGGGTATGTCTACACTACCCTCCTAGTTCGAACTAGGAGGGTAGCGTAGACATACCCTGAATTAGTATCTTCCTATTCATAGAAGATCAACATAAGTAAAGCTTGGAGTTCATTCAAAAAAAAAAAAGGTGTTTTACATTGAGATTGTTTACTCAAGATAGCTGTCATCTCAATGTAAAACTCTAGTGAAGAAGACAAAGCAAAAGGGAGGTTTTACTTTGATTTTGCTAGACAAGGTCAATGTCCCCGCTTATGCAAATGAAGCCCGGGAAATTCAAATCCCGGGCTTCATTTGCAAGTGCGGTATGCCTACATTACCCCGCTAGTTTGAACTAGCGGGGTAGTGTAGACATACCCAAAGAGATAGCACTACAAAAATTATGTTTAGCTGAATTGAAAATACTGTTTCTTTTGTGTTTTGCAATGCAAATATTTAAAAGAAAAATAAATATAAAGTGAGCACTGTATACTTCACATTTTGTGTGACAGCCCTAGGATAATCATCTTCTTCTTCTCCATCTCCTTTTCCTTTTTTGTAAAAGCCCAGAGTAAAAAGAGAAAAATTCCAAGAGTGACACAACTAAGTGCAAAATGGAGCTATTTTTTCCAAATAACGGATTTCAATAGTGTCAAAAGCAAGAGGACAAATTGTATTCATGTGTTGATTATTATCTGAAAGAATGGTTTTAATGATGTATTTGTTTTAAAACTTGGCTGAAATTGAAAACATCCACTTTCTTTCAATTCCCTTAACAAAGAGAGAGAAAAAAGCAACTTCACAAACAAACAAAAACAAATTAAAATCCAGAAAGATCTTTCTCCTCCACAGGGAAAATAAAACAAAACTTAAATTTAGAGATGTCTGGTACTTACCTACTTGGCCTGTATTTGCAAATCTATTTCAATAAAGAGAGTGGGGAAAAAAGGTGTGACAGTGGTCAGCTAGGCTAAAGAGAATTGTCAGAATGAAAAATGGAAAAACCCACTGGACAATTCTACCCCACTAAATACAGGGTTTCAGAAACAGTCTATTTTGTATTTGCTGCAGTGATGTTTGGTTAATTGCCTAAAGCTAGAGGGCCAGATTTTCTGGCCTGCTCTGCTTTCTTCATGCTACCTAAGTGGTGCAAAGGGAGCAGATCTGTTTAAGGAAGTACCAAGAAAGTATATACCTGGCATAGTCAGTTCTCATCCCTCCCTCTCTCCAGAAGGCATAAAGAGAAGAAGAATGGTCAGAATACACTTTACTTTGCCAATTCCTAGCTGGCAATTGGACCTTTGCAATCAAGAACCTTCTAGCCAACTGCCTAAGTTCCTTGTTGGCATCAGTGCCTTCCACATCCAGTTGGTCAATAAGTCGTTATCAGGGAATATGTACCAACACTAGATGCTGATAAGAACAGAAAGAATCCTTTTACATTGATCTTAATAAAATCTGGTCATCTATTCTAAAAACAAATAAGATAACCTTTTTAGGGAATATTTATGCAAGAGTTGGTAAATATTCTAACATATGGATTAGTACTATTGGGAAGGAAGGAATGGGCAAGATTAATTCCAATGGTATCCCTCTATTCAGGAAATGTTCTGATTACAACTTTGTGATCATGGACACCATCTTCAGACAAATCAATAAGAACAAAATAATTTAGCAACACACCTGTTCAAAACAATGACATCTTCTAAACTATGTCACTCTAATGAAACAGGATCTAAGGGATGTCCAAATCACTGGTCTCAGTGATGATTACTGGACTGACCACCACCTGGTGAATTTAGTCATGTCTATCAGGATTGCCCATTGTCTGGTTGCAGAAAAATGCCAGAAAAACAAAGACAACTGTCATGCAGCTGTCATGGCCCAACCTTGACTTCCAGGACCATCTGCAATGTCTGCCAATAAGCCTGTGGCTCAAGGATCAGAATCTCCAGTAATCAAAGAACCTATAAAAATAAACACATCTGAAAAAGACCTTGAGGAATCACCAACAATGTATGCTAATGAAAGGAATATTTTTTGTACTTTTATTTAAAAAATTGTTATAGCTGCTAAGAAATTAGTAATACTAGTAATACTTCTGTCAAAGGGCAGCATGCAAATGAGCAGAGCAAGGTTGTAGATTAATATTGTCTGTGGTCATATAGTTTATTCAATAGTTGCCAAAATAATTATCATTTTATATAATCTTGCAGGGGCAAGATTAGAAAAGCAATGGCACAGAATGAGCTCAAACTAGCTACCGGAATAAAGGAAATCAAGAAGACTTTTTATAAATACATTAGAAGCAAGAGGAAGACTAAGGAGAGGGTAGGCCCACTGGTCAGTGAGGAAGGAGAAACATTAACAGGAAACTTAGAAATGGCAGAGATGCTCAATGACTTCTTTGTTTCAGTCTTCACCAAGAAAAGTCTGAAGGAACGCCTAACATAGTGAATGCTAGTGGGAAAAGGGTAGTTTTAGAAGGTAAAATGAAAAAGAACAAGTTAAAAATCACCTAGAAAAGTTAGATGCCTGCAAGTCACTAGGGCCTGATGAAATGCATCCTAGAATACTCAAGGAGCTGATAGAGGAGGTATCTGAGCCTCTAGCTATCATCTTTGGAAAATCATGGGAGACAGGAGAGATTCCAGAGGACTGGAAAAGGGCAATTATAGTGCCCATCTATAAAAAGGGAAATAAGAACAACCCAGGAAGCTACAGACCAGTTAGTTTAACTTCTGTGCCAGGGAAGATAATGGAGCAAGTAATTAAGGAAATAGTCTGTAAACACTTGGGCTACGTCTACACTGGCCAGTATGATTAGTATTAGTATCATACTAATTAGTATTAGTATTAGTATTAGTATTAGTATCATAATCCTAATCATTAGGATTAGTATTAGTATCATACTAATTAGTATTAGTATTAGTATCATACTGGCCAGTATGATACTAATTGCTTCCTATTTCTGTATTTCATCACTATCATGTCCACCACCTGGAAATGCTCACAGTGTAGCTAGAGGTTCCAACCTACAGTGGTTTCCTAGGTAACCAATAGACCACTACAGAAACAGACTGACAATGTAGAAGGAAACAAAAACAAACCAAATAAAACCCTGCAGAATTTCCCCTTAAAAAGCATAACAAAAATTCCTACACTGAAAGTGATACAGTATGAGCAAAAGTGGCGAGGAGTCCTGTGGCACCTTATAGACTAACCGAAGTGTTGGAGCCTAAGGTTTCATGGGCAAAGACCCACATGCATCTGACGAAGTGGGTCTTTGCCTATAAAAGCTTATGCTCCAACACTTCGGTTAGTCTATAAGGTGCCACAGGCCACCTCGCCACTTTTGTAGATTCAGACTAACACGGCTACCCCTCTGGTACTATGAGCAAGATTCACAAACAAAGAGCATTTAAATACCATCGTCTTGGAGCCTTACAATTATTCCTCTCCATCTAGAAAATAGAGTTCCTTTTACAGAAAAGTAGTAGTAGTAGTGATAGTAGTATTGCAAAAGCACTGAAAGACCTGCAGCAAGATCAGGGTCCCATTAAATTAAGCCCTGGGTAATCACATAATCAGAGACCTGAAGAGTCCACTTACAGTCCACTTACACACACCTCGCCGCCGCCCCCGCCCAACACACTGTCCATCTCTCCTCCAGAAGGCAGGAACACGTGTTTTTTCCCTGCTGGATACTGCCACTGATGGATTTGGCATGTGCATGGCATGGAGGGAAGCCCAACTGCCCTGTGGCCCCCATCCTGACCGCTGGCTCCCTGTCTGGCCAGAACCTTCACATGCCTGGGATGCGGGACTAGTGAGGTCCCCTTTGGACATTTGGGTCCTTACAGGAAAAGGCCCACTGGCTAGACCACACATGGCCTTGCTCCAAGCACATCACCTTTGGCTGAGATGAGAACCATTGCTCTTGGCTCAGAGATGAGGGCAAGGCTTCAGGCACAGTGTCTCTAGGGATGACTGACTGTCTCTCTTTATTCTCCACAGCCGGACCATCTGTGAGAAGGGGGCGGTCAACACCACCTGGGGCAGCCTCCTGACCCCAAGGGACCCACAGTCATCAGAGATCCATGGATGAGTTCCAGAGGGAGCACCTCATGGCACTCTGATCCATGGAGCTGATCCTGGACCATAGACTTCAAGAAGATATCCAGCTGAGGTAAGACAGCTGGTGGGAGATGCTGGAGAAGGGCTGCACCGTGTATGCAGCCATGCCATATCTGGTCACCACCATTATGCTTGCTCCTGCTCCTGCTCCTGCAACTCCTCCTCTTGCTTCTCCCCTATGCCCTGCCCCCTATGGCCGCTATGGTCTCTGCGCCCATGGCAGTGGGATCATCAGAGCAAGGCACAACTTCCAGCCCCAACCCTGAGCCTCTCCTCACCTCCCATTTTCAGTTCCTTCCTCCCTCCTCTCATTCCCCCATCCTCCACTTAGGGTACGTCTAGACTACATGCCTCTGTCGCCAGAGGCATGTAGATTAGTCTACCAGGCATAGGAAAACAAAGCGGCGTACCTGGGTGGTCGACAAATGCCTTTGGTGTTGACACCCGCGTGTCCAGACTACCGCGCTGAGCCGACAAACAGCTGATCGGCTCAGTGTGGCAGCCATGTAAATGTAAATGAAGTGGCGATTATTTAAATCACTGCTTCATTTTCCTATGCCTGGCAACAGAGGCATGTAGTCTAGACG